CACCCCCCGGGGAAAACCGACACATTTTCCCATTAGATCTCATTTCCCCTCACCCCCAGTGCATGTCACAGGACCTGCTGATTTGTGTGTTCACATTTTTCAAGTGCTCCCTTTACTGCTTTTTATAGATATCTATTTTTACCAGATCATCGCTGCTTCTTAATTGTTCTCATATCTTTCTTTTTTTTTTTCTGTTGTTCAAGACAGACTTAAATCAAAATAGCAGAGTGGCCCTTGAGCTTTTAGGTGATCTTTCTGAATCTCAACCCTTTCTCTTTTAGTAATGAGATCATTTCCCCTTCATGCTATTTCTTTTCAACATACATTTGTAAAAGCCCAAACTGTGTTTTTCTTTCTTGAGGACACTCAGAACTCACTTTCCTTATTTCTGCTTATTTCAGGGGTTGAGAATACAGGAAAAGCTGTCAGATTGGAAACCACAGTGCAAAGATTAATACTATCTTAATTGCACTAAAAAGCAAAACGGGAAAAGGAAATGCAAAATTTCCCTCTATTTTCCCTTCTCTTTCCATCCCACCTCTCATATTATTCCAGCCCATTCATAACAGAGACTGAACATGTTCTAGGAAGCCATCACTAGCATAGGCAAGAACACAGCTGAGTTTATGATCTATTCAGTCTCTCAACTCTCATTTTTTTACATACTTATTATCCACTTTTTCTTTAACTTTCCTGGTTTGGTATTCACTTTTCAGTTCCCCTCCTTTCATAGCCTCCCCTTGTTTAAGCTCACATTCAAATCTCCAAGGATTTCGAAATTTGAAGTCACAAAAAAATTCACTGGATTTCAGCTGTATGAACAGAGCGCATTGGGAGCCAGCGTCCGGAGTGGGAAATGATGAGGACACTCATTTTCTGAGACAGCTCAGGGACCAGTGATGCAGACCTCTTCACCTGGGTCATATCACAGACACCCACGTACAGCCTAAAGCACCAGGCCAAGAATAAGCCAGAAGTAGCACTATTCACAATAGCCCAAACCTGGAAACAATCCAAATGCCCATCAGCTAGCAGTGGTCGGCAAATTCATTAGTCAACAGAGCCAAATTATCAACAGTACAACGACTGAAATTTCTTTTGAGAAACAAATTTTTTAAACTTAAACTATATAGGTAGGTACATTGTTATTAACTTAATTAGGGTACTCCTAAGGCTTAGGAAGAGCCACACTCAAGGGGCCAAAGAACCGCATGTGGCTCTCGAGCCGCAGTTTGCCGACCACGGAGCTAGTGGATAAACAGACAGTGAAATGAACATGTATATGCAATTTCTAGAGAGGCAAGCTATAGAGATGGAGTGCAGACCAGGTTGGTAGGGCAGGAGCAAGGACTGACTGCAAACAGGCACACAGGAATTTTGGAGAAGGATGGAAGTGTTTTAAAATGAATTGTGGTGATGGCTGCACAACTATGTAAATTTACTAAAAATAATTGAGCTGTGCATTTGCATTCATGGACTGGAAGAAATGTAAATTATATTTCAATAAAGTAACTAAAAAGAGAGGGAGAAAAGAAAAAAAAGCCAAGAAGACACAATCCAGCATATATTTCCGGCCATCCTGCTCAACTCCATTCTCTTAAGAATTATCTTAGTTATGGATTACTATTCTCTTCCGGTCTTCCTTTTGGGAGTGAAATTTCTAATTTGAAGCCACAAACCAAGAAACAACCAAGCAGCCATCTTCAATACTGAAGGACTAGACACTGTGATTGTTTTGATACATATGGAAATCTCTAAATGAAGAACTGCAAGTAAATTCACTCTCTGGGACCATATTTTTCCTGTTGTCAGAAGCAACCATTTGGTTGTTAAGTCTACCCTGCTTATTGCTGTTACTTTCTACAAGCATGAGACAATGTCCTTAAGTTCACACGATTACCTTCCTCAGCTGGGGCCAAGCCTTTCTCAGCATTTCTCTATTCTTTAACTACAATAGAAATTCTTAAATAAATCAAGTCTTATTTCAAACTACTAATGATCTCTGCACCAAAAATATAAACCTCGTCTTAATTTATTGGTTTTTAGCAGCTGTTCCCAGCATGTGGAATTAGCCTGAGCATTGTCTGTAGCCACAGATGTTAAACTGTTTTCTGAAAAAGCCCTGTCCACCCCTACTGAGTATTCCCTGTCATCCACTGCCCCTCTATATTGAGTAGAGGTCAGAAAATGATTCTTTTCTTCTGAAAGGTAGGAATGCTGGTGAGCAAGGGCAGTGGTGCAAGGTTCCACTTGACCTGCGTAAAACACAGGCCACAGTGGTGCTCTCAGGTTATGATAAAGATGGCTGCAGGTGGTCCTCTCCCTGCAGTCAGGGTTTACTTTATCCTTCACCTAGATAAGGCTTGCACCACAGAGTGACTTGCATCCCTGCTGATGCATCATGTAACACCTTATGAACTCTCCTATAGTCTCAAAGTGCGATGGGATGGGATCTCTTGGCTAATTATGTGGAATAGTCTTCCAGCCAACACGCTCTCACTTGAAACTCTGCTATTTCAATGGAAATACCCCCAAAATAAGAAAACATGGACTTCCTTCATTTTCCAGGAAACCTTCCACTCAGAGTGGTTCCATCATCATTATTTTTTGATTGACCATTTGACTATGATGCTGATGTGCTACAACAGAATGTGCCATGTCCCTACTGTCTTTGAAATCGATTACTGGGCTAAAATGACATTTTAAAACAATTGGTTGAAAGTACTAACATTCTAAACCAGTGATGGCGAACCTATGGCACGCGTGTCAGACGTAACACACGAACTCATTTTTTTGGTTGATTTTTCCTTGCTAAATGGCATTTAAATATATAAAATAAATATCAAAAATATAAGTCTTTGTTTTACTATGGTTGCAAATATGAAATAATTTCTATATGCGACACCGCACCAGAGTTAAGTTAGGGTTTTTCAAAATGCTGACACGCCGAGCTCAAAAGGTTCGCCATCACTGTTCTAAACCAAAAGCCTAAATAAATACCTAGTTCCTTATGTTGTTTTAATTCATATACAGGGGACAAATGAAAACTTTTTTTTCCATTACCATTGTGTGGTGGTTTTGCCTATCCCATCAATCTTATCTTGTAACTTTCCTCTCTGACTTGCCGATTTTTTTCTCTGCCCATCTCTCCCTCCCTTCTGCCCATCTCCCCTCCTTCTATGTGTCCCCACCCTGTGCATCCCCTCCCCTCTGTGCATCCCCTCCCCTCTGTGCATCCCCTCCTCTCTGTGCATCTCCCCCCACTCTGTCCATCCCTCTCTCCTCTGTGCGTCCCCCCTGTGCATCCCCCTGCACTCTGCATCTCCCCCCTCTGTGCATCCCCTCCTCTGTGCTACTCCCCCTTCTGTGCATCTCCCCCCTCTCCATCCATCCCTCTCTCCTCTGTACATCCCCCGCTCTATGAATCTCCCTCCACTCTATGCATCCCCCCTTTGTGCATCTCCCCCACTCTGTGCATCTCCCCCCATTGTGTATCCCCCTCCCCTCTGTGCATCTCCACCCTTTATGTATTCCCCCCCTGGCCATTTGAGATGTTCCAGCAGAAGATGAACCCTCCCCTTGTGCTCTGGAGACAGGCCATGGACGGCAGTGTCAGAATGGCACTGTGTGCAAGCCTGGGTGGGATGGGCCCAGGCACGGCATCACCAACTTCGACAACTTCGCCTTCGCCATGCTCACGGTGTTCCAGTGCATCACCATGGAAGGCTGGACAGACGTGCTATACTGGGTACGTAGCTTGCGATGGGCAGCGGCAGGGAGTCCGGAAAACTTCAAGGCTTCCTTCCCTCGACATCTCCCTTGTTTACCTCCCATGACTTTGATGGAGAGGCTGATGAATGTCTTTGAGTTCTTTCAGGCCTTTCCTGAGAGACAAAGCAAACACTCACTCTCCCTGTGACAAGTCTCTCTTTGCCACCAGCCTCAGAGAAATGCCTTTCAGTGTGTGCTACGCTTTTCTAGTAAGAAACATGGCAGGCGTAACACAGGATCCCATTCACTCCTCTCCCACTATTGGGTTTTTTTCTTCCTACTATTGTCTTGCCTCTGTCCCCAAAAGATACATCATTTATAATTTTTAGACAGATCATTTATAATTAAAGAGAAACATTAGGCCTGGTCTTCTAAAAAGAAGCCATTTTTAAAAATATATATTTTTATTGATTTCAGAGAGGAAGAGAGAGAAATGGAAACATCAATGATGAGAGAGAATCATTGATTGGTGGCCTCCTGCACACCCTACACTGGGAATCAAGCCCACAACCCTGCCACGTGCCCTAACCAGGAATCAAACTGTGACTTGGTCAACGCTCACTCACTGAGCCACACCAGTCAGGCAGAAGCTATTTTTATTGAATGGTGTAGCATTACAGAATGCTATTATATTCTTATTTCTCAGAGTAATCTTACCTTTCATATGAGAATAGTCCAGACAAATACATTGCTGGCTTTCTTAGTGTTAACAAAACATGCTGGTGCTTACATGATGCATATTTAGAAACTATACTCCTTAAGTGTCAGCCATTTGACAGCAAATCTTTAAAAATCTTTTGCCCCTTTTCATGTCCATCAGCCAACAGTACTTTGCCACCTTTGAGCCACTGAAGGGATTTTGGTGCAGCCTATCCCACAGGCAAATACACACATCATGTTTGAGCAGTCTCCATTTGGCAGAGTTAAATCCATTATTTATAAAAACTCCAGGAAACATAATTCTTTATAGTATCTCCTATTTTAGCAGGAAATGATTCACCAGAATCCAGTGTTGTTCTCTAACATTTGAGTGAAAATGCTTGTTCCATTCTTGAAAATACCATCTCACCTAGCATTTTGCAAACAGTCATATGTATTTGGCCATCCTGAAAACCTTTGAGAGCATGCTTAAGGAACAGTGTCTGCACACTAAAGCATGGAAGAGGGGTGATGCCTCCCCATCAAGCAGAGCTGCCAGACAGGCAGGAACTAATTCTATGAGGGGTGCTAACTTCTTTCTGAATCAGAAAAGTTTGTAGCAACATGGAGATGTGATATAGTGTATTGTATCCTCTAAATTTTTATAAGCATCATATTCTATTGATTAAAAACCCCATTTCCCAGTTTTTATGTTGTAGTGGACATGCTGAAACCCAGTGTTGCTATGAAATTGCACCTCTCTGCAAATGACTACTTGAAACTTTCCTGAGCACCTTGTACCTAGCAAACATTTACTGAGCATTCCTTGCATGCCAGGGGTGCCCCTATGGACTGAGAATTCAGACTAAAAAACATCCAGTTCAGACTGAAAAGCTCAGTCTAGGGAAACACTAAATTTCAACTGAATGATGGCTACACAACCAGAACCCCGGCTGGGAAAGTTGCTGTGTTGTCATACTTTCAAAAGAAAATGAAGGCTAAATCAACCCTTCCTCAAACTAAAATGAAACTTTGAAAATATTTTCTAAGGCCTATACTGAATAAAAACTGATTTTAAATGATTTGTACAAAGAGAGGGATTGAACTTATTATACGTAGGCAAGTTTATTTCACTTCGCAAAGTTGATCAAATTCCCAAGTGGTCCTAAGGACAGAAACATCCTTTTTCAGATGGGCAGTTTGGAACGGTGTATGGAACAGTGCCTTGGAGCCTCATCAGGTGGAGCTTCAAATCCATGCCTTAAGTTGCTATGGAAACACCTTTAATGGCAGCAACTTGAGGGCAGGGTAGTGGTGGGTGAGTGTGGGGTGGGGTTGAGGGGAATAGGTATAATTTACTTTGCTAATGGCCCTGATGTATTTTTGTGATCTTCCTTCATTACATCCCTCCTCTCCCCAACCACAACTCACTGATAACCCACCAACCAGATGTGACCCAAAGAAATACTATCGTGATGAAAACGGAGTAGGGAATGAGAACAAGCACACAAATGCAACTACCAATTTTCAGCAGCTGTGTTGTGCTTTCTCCCCTGGGGTGTGTGTTGTGCTTTCTCCCCTGGGGTGCGTGTGATAGAGCTCAGGCTGGAAATGGAAAAAGTGTCAGAGGTGAAGAAACAATCCCAGGCTCATGGGACATGCCTCTCTGATTTTCCCAGCACCTTTTTGAAATGGCCATGTTATGTGTGTTTGTGTGTGTGTGTGTGACTGGGGGCGGGGGGCACACACAAAGACACACCTAAAGCTGAAACAGAGCCTCGTACTTGGGTATTCATGATGGAGGCACCTCCCAGCCCAAAGCTCCTGGCTTTCAGATAATTTCTCTGATTGCTTTGACCTTCCTATGGCCATTTCTTTCTTCCTTCCTTCTTCCTATTTTTCCCTCTTTCTTCCTTCCTCTTGAGCATTCCTCCTCCTGGCCTCTAGGCTGTATCTCTAAACCCACAGACTCTCAAATCTCAATGGGCTTTAGTATAACATGGAGCTTTCTAAAATAAAGATGCCAAGACTTCCCTCAAGCCATTGGATTAGAAGCTCCAAGTTAGACCCAAGTATCTGCAGTTTGAAAGCTCCCCGTGTGATTCTGATGCTCAAGCTGGAGTTTGAAAACCCCTAGAAGTCTAAACTATTGAATTTGAATGGTGCTGTTTTGGTCCCTGAATTTGAACCAGTGTGGGGAGATAGTTTCCATAGTAATTGGGGAAGTAGGGTCTTCTACTCAGAAGAATGCATTTCTCTTAAAATCCAAGGGACAAGTCTAGATAGAGGACATGGGAGGGAGCAACCCAGAGTTTCAATATGGCAGTGAATGGAGACCCCAGGGCTGGGTTCCTTCTGAACCACCAAACAGCAGGGAGAGACTAGATCATTGCAGCACTAAAGAAGTCAATGATTCAATCACTAGATACCACCTTGGATAGAAGAGAGTTAGAAGGTCACCAGTAGCATACAGTAGGCACCTGCCTTCTGCTATGGAAGATACTGAGTCTATTTCTCCTTTTCTCTGACATGCATTATTTAATCTTGTTGTGATTTTGAAGAGTTAGTGCACTCAAAGTAAGATCAAACTTGAATATTTCCTCAGCTATTAAACTTTGGCCAAACACTAGGTTAAGGCCCCAACTAGCTGAACAATTAGCTTAAAACATTTCCTGTACCTAGTGCCCCATTCTAGAGGTTTGTAGATGGATGGGTATGGGGATTCGGAAACTAAGACAAAACTCAGGTGTTTAGGGGTGTGGTTTCCTTGGTCAATGGCTTCTTAAGCCAAAGCCTCTCCGTTTCCTCCCAGAATGTTCACACCTCTTATGATCTAGGGTGGGAGGGGAGAGGATGGTGATCACATAAAAAGTGCGGCAGGGAGGAATTTAGGGTTGTATGGTATGACCATTGATTTCTGATTCTACTTCCAGGTGTGTTTGGTTTTTTTAACCTAATGTCCCTAGCCTTCTGCATATAATTCAAGACTACTTTCCTTATATGGTTTAGCCAAGTGCCTTCCTGAAGATATAAGAGGCTGCCAGATCAAGATGATCTGTAGGGTTCTCCTATTAGGGTCAATTTGAAACGCTGAGCATTATCCCTTCCACATTGTAGCCAGATCATGATTAAATAGATAAATATCAATCAGTTATCTGCTCAGTGCTGACTTTTTGCCCCGTACTTGAAATAGCTCCATCCATGCTCATGGCACACAGAATAACGTAGCCACTGAACTGGAGTTTGGAACCCTCAGAGAAGGTGTGAGAATTGTTCAAAAGGGAGGCAGCAGTGAGAGCAGACACCACAGAAGATTACAGAATAATTCTTCATCAAGAGAATGATGTTGACTTCTGCTCCCCCATAGCCCTTCTGATCTAGGGCCCCTAAGAATATGGCAGACTGTGGACACAGTAGAAAGCACTCTGGTCTATGTTTCCCAGACTCCTGCTCCTCCCCACCCTGCCACCATTGGGGTCACCATCTCCCCATCACCCATTGCCCATCCACTGGTTTCTCCATGATCAGTGCTTCCACTGATTTAAAAATATTAGCAATTGAGCTTTAAAATAAGATTAGAAAGAATACTTAGTGAGAAATCATGTAAAGGAAATATTTTAGAATCACAAAGAGTGTCTTCTGTAGGGTCTGAATTAGTTTGGGTTGAGCAGGAGACCTTGGGAACAAGTAGCACGTTTTGACTTTTCACAAGTCAGTTGTTGACACTGCACTCTGTCTTGTCATTCCAGTACATGTCTGCACATGCTGGGAAGATATTCCTACTGATATCTCATCTCTGGTCTCAGTGCTGCTGAAACACCCCTTGTTTATGACAAAGGCCTTTTGCATTCAGGCAGGTTGTAACTCAGGTTTTACTCTGTTTTTCTCTCCTCCTCCATGGTTTCTTCAAAAGGCCACCTCTTTTCACTAAGTATAGAAACTGAGTCTCTGAAGGCATCAGAAAAGCTGAAAGGTGGAGCTGGATTCTCTTGATGACCTAGTCATTCTAAGTTAAGAGTTGAGAAAAAAATCCTCCAGTGACCCATAAACATTCTCAGTTCTAACAGGTACCAGCGTAGAGAAGGTGGTAGGTTCTACTTAGGACCCTGTGGTCTTTAATTCGGAATCTGTATCAGAGTGTTACCCACTTACCCAGCTTTAAACAGAGAATCTGTTATCTAAACTGTAAACTGTTGATTCATGAACATATCAAGAAAGAGAATTAGCATACCTCAAAGTTATTATTTATTTACTTATTGGGTTTCATTTTATTCATTTCACTGGTGTTAGGTGAGTCCTTATTATTCAGTAAGGCCTGAGTTGGGCCTGGGAGGGGCT